GCACTGCGACGTCAAGGACCATCGCATTGACTTCGACAACGCATGCATCGTTGACGTTGAGACAAATCCTCGAAAAAGACTGTTCCTAGAATCGTGGCACATTCAAACAACGCCACAGAACATCAACAGATCTCTAGGGGCTTTACCATCCGCCTATGTGAATGGGCTTCGTCACATTATTGAAAAAGGCAGAGCCGTAGAAGAAGAAGACCAGACACACGCCGTAGAAGAAAAAGAAAAGGACACTGCTCCTCAACGGCCATAGCCGTAGTCGCCCCTGAAGAAGAGGCCGAATTGGCCTTGAAACGTTGGGTCCCTACAGAAGGGCTTGGTTGGTGTTCGAATTTTTTAATATTAATTACTCCCAACCAGACAGATCTCTGTCAAATGTTTACTTTTAAATTTTCTTTCAAATATTTTTAGCCTTTATACACAATTTTCTGTCGAAATTTTGTAGAAATTGGACAAATATTTTTGTTAGGGAGCCGTGATACACATTCCCTGGAAAAAGAAGAAACAAATGTTTGGAGAGCCAGCTGCACCGCCCACTTAATAAGCACTTTTTGTTTTTGGTTTGGCAACCGCCTCTGTTAATACACTACTAACAGTTAAACCTGTCTCGTTGCTTACTAGCCACTAAAGAGTGCAACCGAACTTTGTCCAAATTCCGGTTAAGAAATCAAACATGTCAACACAAGCCTATTCTGCAAAATAATTTTAAAAACCTTTTGTGGTACTCCTCTGGGCAAAGGCTCATACCACCCAGATCTCAAAGTGTGCTATACAAGGCGGCACACACTCCTCGAACATGTGTCACACTCTCTATTATGGGAAGAAAGTGATTTTCTAGTTGCTGAATTAAATGAAGGGCAGCTTGTGATGGTACTACTAAGTTCCCGACGAATTTTCGAGGCACGTGGTATGCTTTAGGAGCAAGACAGTACTGGTGAGGCCTGGTCAAGTTATTAGACTCATCCGATAGCAGCTGAAAAGAGCCATAGCTGTAAGTTGTCTGTTCAAGCAAAAGCATGATCGAATAGCCCCAAACGTAATAAAAAAGTGGACGAGTCATCGATTATGTTAGACCTGATGTCTGATGCCAGCTCAGAGATATCCTCTAGTGGCGGGAAGTTATCAATTGGAAGACATTCTACAATATCTGAAATTAAACTTTCATGGTGCGGAGATATTTGCAACTTCTTTAGGAGGTCAGCCTTGTCATCCTCTACGTTTTCATTGTCCGACAGTTTGAACAGTTTCTTTATCGAGAGGTGTTTTAGTTCTGAGGTGAACGGATGCACATTTGGGTTTGTGTTGCAGCCCAGCATTTGTCGTATATAGCTCCAAAAACGTTCTCAAGTGTGTCCTGCTGCAGGCGTCGTAAGTCATGGCTGCTTGCAAGCAGTAGTGTAAGTCATGGCTGCTTGAAAGCTCATCCCAGAGCATGAGGACACTTTTTATAGTAACTTGCCACCCAATGATGGCTTATGGCTGCCTCTTACTTTGCAACCGCCATGCTGAAATCCATCCGAGTTACTGGTGGAGAAAATCTAGTATTTCAGATTCTCCCTTCAGAATGGCACGAGGCAACTTCTGCCCGGTATTCTTGAATTTTTTAGCTATTTAGACAATCAAAAAGTATGCACCTCCTATCACAGAAATAGGCTGTAGCCATGGCTGCCTCAGGAAGTTCCTTGGCATAAACAAGGGATATGATTGCAAGAAAGAGTGAGGCACTCAGTACCTGTGGGGCACAATTTTCTTCCATGTTACAGAAAGGTTCTTGAAAAAATGTGTCTCTCAGTAAGTTTCGGAGCCAATTCCAAGCTCATCTCATGAATAGAACAATAAAGTTCAACAATAGAAGACCACTCAATGACCTCATTTCCAATGCAAAGTTTGTGGGCTTGGAGATTGCTCTTGGTTTTTTTGGGAAGGTGCGGAACATCAAAGACAAAGTAACGTGTTCGTTTTTTAACTTCAAAAAATGGCTTATCAACACACACACCAAGTAGAGCACTGCACGGGCCCGGGCCAGCCCGAAAGCCCGAGCCCGGCCCGGCCCGCGGGCCGGGCTCGGGCCGGGTAGCACGTATTTTCTCGGGCCCGGGCCGGGCTCGGGCTTGAACAAAAAAGTTCTCGGGCCGTGCCGGCCCGGGCCGGCCCGAGCCGTGCCTGGGCAATTTTGTGCCGTCAATCATAAATTGTTGTTGATAGCAAGAAGTTTGCTCATTAATCTTTTCGTTTCATTGAATACAAAAAAGCGAAGTGCAAATTCACTACAGCGTCGTTAAAAATAGTAACTAAAAGACATCTTGAAGCTAGAAAGCCTTCAAGCTTTTTCCGTGTGAGCGAGGGTTGTGTTAAAAGTTGTAAACAAAATAAAGTCCCAGTCATATGCTTGTCAACCTGTCTGATTCATCGCTCTCAAAAATATCTAGTTCACTATTAGGAAGATTTAGAAAAACGTACGCAAGCGCTTTGGGTACCGTAAAAATAGCGTTGCGATGTAAAACCTATGGCGATGCTAATTTTAGCTTGCCCAAAGTGCTTGAGTACGTTATTCTAAGACTCCCTTATTGCACAGAGCGCGACACTATATTAGTGCGAACAAGCGATCGTCGTGTTTTTATGCTTATCTCATAGAATCAAAACGCTGTTTTCAAAAGTATTAGTGTCTTTAGAAGTGCTCATCTGGGCCACATACCTAAGCGGTATACTTTGGTGCCTACTAAAACCATTTCGAAGTAAAATTCGAAAAAAGAGCCAACGTCGTGTTCGCGGTATCAGTGTCGCGCAGTGTACATAGTCCGTTCCGCGCTTGCACGTTTTGGGAACCATCTTGAAAAAAACGTTTTAAGGGGTTAACTAGGAATATATTAAACTTAAGCTTGCCTGAAAGGGTTGTATATTTTAAGAACGCGTTGACATGTAAAGCTACTTCAGAACATATTCTTAAACAGAAAAGGTGCGCAGACCAGGCTTAAGACGATGGAGACTTTTTGCGAAGAGGTTGCGATGTGCAGGGCCTTATAAAAGTAGGTTGAAACGGGACGCGTTCAAACGCAAAGGGTGTTTCGGAAACTGGTTCAAATAAGAAGGGCGTTTAGGGAATGGGTCGAAACAGGACAAATTCAAACGAGAAGGGTGTTTAGGGAACTGGTCGAAACGGGACGGGTTCATATGGGAAGGGTGTTTAAAGAATGGGTCGAAACAGGACGGGTTCAAATGGGGAGCTCGTTTCGGGAGCGGGTCGAAACAGGACGGGTTCAAACGGATATGGGTTGTTTCGGGCTACAGCCATCGGGCCGGGTCGGGCGGGGCCTTGAAATTAACAATTCTGTCGGGCTCGGGCCGGGCCCGGGCCGGGTCGGGCCGGGCCTAGAAATTTAAAATTCTGTCGGGCTCGGGCCGGGCCCGGGCCGTGTCTCTACCGGGCCGGGTCGGGCCGGGCCTAGAAATTCCGGCCCGTGCAGTGCTCTAACACCAAGCCTACGTTTGAAGCCTTATTAACCACAGACCACAGCCTTCACTGTGAAGCCAACAATCTTAACCTCCCGAATGAGAGAAATGAGGAGACTGCGTTAAACAGAAGACGTTGTTGGAGTGTGCACAACAGTGTATGCAAGGGGCTAAACGCACCTCCTGGAAATTTCAGACAGCATAACAACCAAGGCTCTATCTGCAATGTTAGAGGTTCGTTCAACACCGTCATCAGTAAACCCATGGACAATGTCGTGTGCAGGGTCGTTAGTTCAATTCTTTTTTTTTAAACAATCTCGTCGAAAATCAACACGCATACACGTTCAAGTGCAGCCAGACAGCCCGGCAGAAACAACAGCGCGAGAAGCTCGAACCGATCGGCTCCACGAATTCACGCCGAGCATGCGAGCACGCGGGCGGTCATGCGTCACCTTGATTGATGCTAAGTCGATCGAACATGATTCAGCAGAAAGCACAGATGGACGGCACGCACGGCACAGACGAACGACGCAGGGACGAGCAGAGGCCATGCAGAATGATGCAGAGGCGACGGCGTGCAGACAGGCAGGCCGTGGCAGGCGCCATTCATCACGTGGTTTTTGTGACGTATTTGATTTAAACTATTTAGTCGTTTTAAGTACATTAAACAATTTTAAAGCATTGCCATTTAAAAAATAAATACTTTTCACAGAAAGAGTTTTAATTAATTTTAACCAAATTGCAGAAAAGCGCCACGTAGTGGAGGGTATTAAACGCACTATCTGGGCCGCGAATCGGCTCCTCTGTCCTCTCTTTACGTTTACTATATTACTCTATGCGCTGACGCTATGACACCCACACAACGCCGACAACGCCACAAAGCGCAAAGCTCACAACCACGCCAACCTTGCTACGTCACGAATGCGGGGAATCCTTTCTTTCTGTTTTTGTGTGCGCCGGCTATCCCATGACGCATCGCGCGTGCTGGCTCGAGTGCACCGTTTGGAACAAAAAATATAGCCAGTCGTTCAAAATACAAACGTGCGATTATCATTTACGGTTATTATCCGTCATGCTTGACTCATTTCCAAACGAAATTTGGATATTTAAATTTTTTTTTCCGTACCCCTTTAACGTACGTCCGGCACTGAACGCACGCCGGTACGATGCTCATCCAGATCGAAACGGTCCGGAGTGGGAACTGACAGAAAACTACCGCGACCGTGACTAGAATTCGCTTGATTGCACAAAATACGGATTTATTCAGATTAAAAAAAAAAAAAAAAAAACATTTATAGTAAATACATCGGGTTGCTGCAGTGGATACACGTGAAAAGGAGAAAAATCCTGCCGTAAATGTTATCCACACATAAAAGAGAAAAGAGTAGCACGGGCAGAGGGGAGGGCAATGAGAGACATCGAGAGGTAATAGGAAGGAGGTTTAGATCGTGTCGGCATACCACAGACATTTGAATGTCGAAACTATGTGACAAAAGTAGTGTTTATTTTTTTTTGTTGTTGTTTTTTTGTTTTTCCAGGTCGAACGCTTTGACGTTTCTTCCACGAGATATCGGCCAGGGCTTCCCCGCCCTCTACTTTTTCAGCGTTGGCGAAAACAACATCACCACCTTAAGCCAAGAAAGCCTAGCTCCGCTGAAGAGCGCCGGATACGTGCACCTGTATGGTAAGGATGTAGCACGGGACGATCTGCCACACTTTCGAATGGTAGCGATAGCGTCAATGCCGTAAATGTTGGAAGTATATATTCATATGCTTTAAACATATAAAGCTGATGGCAATTACGGTCGCAACAAGAAATTTATGCGAGGGACAGAGAGGTGACCGCGCAATCCATACCGAAGCGCACTTTTCACACCGTTCCTTTTTTGAGATCTCAAAACAAGGGGTGCCCGTTCGGCTAAGGTAAAACTAATACGACCCTAAGTTTGCTGGTTCTAAGTTGCTGGGCGAGCTCTAATGACACTATTTGCTAAATAGGTCGAGCTGAACATCACCTATCGAGGATGGGGCAACCATACCAGCACCCTCCAGTGCTGACCTCTGGTGCTCACCATTGTGGCACCCGATGCAGATAGATAGCTTAATGGGTTAGTCGCGATTTTCGAATGGCCGGTGTAGGCCATTTCAATCCCTGAAAAAGAAAACACATGTAAAACGCTTAGTAATTGCTGAAGGGCTTGCAAATTCTGCTCAGAGTAGTGGACGCGTGGGTTTTCGCTAGGATTTCTTAGGACCAGCTCCGCTTCAGCGCATCCGGTCCTAAGACGTCGCAAGAGGCTTAAAAGCCGGTCTGGTCTTTCTCGGTCGTACTCGGTCGCAAGTATGTGAACGGGCTTTTAAGTTGTGTAAAAAAAGAAAAGGAAAAAGGATAAATATTGGCATATCTGGCACCCCTCAACTCACTCCCATTCTTCAGGGTCACACCTGGTCCCCCTCCTAGTGACGTAATTAGGGGTGGCGTGTAGGTCCCCGTATGCTCTCTCGGAGGATGCTTCCTGTCCCTCTCTCCGCTGACATTAGAGGGCGTAGAGCCGAGCGAGGTCACCTAATATTCTCGACGACGTAGTTCCTATGGCTGCCACTCGAAGCTGGAGTGGGGGGGCAGGGGGCGTCAAAAGTCCGAAGACGTCAATCCTGACTTTTGTTTTTCCTTCAGTTTTTCTTTGTCCGGGTACCCGCCTTGTGTGGGTCAGCGTCAGCCTCACTCGAAATACGCCCCAATAACCCGTTTTTTTTTTCAGTTTCAATTATTTACTCGTCGATGTCAGCACTGCAGAACGGGAGCTGACGGCATGCCTTCAGGGTTGTTTTATTTTTGCATGCACTATTTCATGGGACGCGGTTTGACGCTGAGGCTAAAGAGCCGAATGAATTATGTTTACTATACACGCATCGCCAAGATGGAGCAGGACGGAATGCGCTCACCAAAAATGGCAGAGCGTGCCCACGAAGCGGACTAAGTAGGAGCGCGCGTTGCACGATCGAGGGCAGCCGGTACCGCACAGTAAGCTTTAATGTGTTTTCCATCGAACGATAAAAGGGACTTTTAGCGAGCTGTCGCTGTGTTCCGCAAAGCGCACTACTGGAGCCTGGAGCGATACCGTGATCGCGGGGCGCGCGCTTAAGAAAGCATGCTTCAATGGCTCCGGTAGGGCTCCGGTAGTGGGGTACGCGAAACACGGTCACGGTTTGCTAAAACATCCCGATTAAGTGAGCGCCGATTCAGCTTGCGAAGGTGATTCGTTGGGCGTACACCGCGCTGCGCCTGGAGTGGCAAGCGCCGATTGGCCGATAAAATGGAGTTCGATGGAAATCACCTTATACTTTACCGTGCGGCTGAGGTATTACCGCAGTGTTTTATATGAGGCAAATCGTCAAATGCGATCAGGGGGCAGCCATTTTCTTTTGCTGGAAGTAGTTTGCCTTAGCTTACATGTAGCGTAATTATTTTCACGAAATGTTTATTTAGCCCTCCAATCGCTACAATTGAGAACTGTCGAAATTTTGTAATGAATATTTATATTTTGCATCAATGACTTTTTTATAGTCTGCTAAAATTAGCATTGTCTAAACAAAAACCGAGATTGTGGACGCATGTGGCATTTATATAAGTACCAAGAAACATTTCTAATAAAGAAAGATAATATTCCCTTTCTTTCTGACAAGCTTTGTTCACTGAAATGATTTTCAAGGTCGCTCATAATGTAAATAATAATCCCTGGAGAAGGAGGACAAGAGGGACAAAGGACAAACACAAGTCTCCAAACACAGCTATGGGTGACTATAATCACCTATAGCTGTGTTTGGAGACTTGTGTTTGTCCTTTGTCGCCTTTGTACCCTTTCTCCAGGCATGAGTGTTGTCATTCTAGTCCAGCTCGCTTCCACCTTTGCATTAATTGCATCTAACTCATAATGTCATTTCTTGTTTTGGCGATATTCAGCTTGTGGACGTTGCCTAATTGAGAAATTTTGTTTCTCTCTATTACCTTTTAATTAATTATCTTTCAATTTAAATAATGTCATGTTCCCAAATTTTCGCCGATCTGTCCTAACCGCTAGCGTCCAATTGTCACGAAGCTTGAGATTTCTGCAATGTGTAATTTATTTTAAGTAAAGCAAAAAACGCGGTTCTCTTTTCTCATGAACGCCCGGTATTGGCAAGTTAGCCGCGTTGGATTTTACAGTGAACGAAGAGCCACAGTTATTTGGCACTAACGTATGTTCAAAGTTTGTTTTTTGTGACTGGAAAAGTATCGAAACTTGGAACATGTGTTTTCAGCACCTTGGAGGCGTTTTCTGCCTTTTCAGTGTAGCTGAATTAAAACTGCAGAAAGACAGCAAGGTCTCTTCAGATAAGATCATGCACGCGTGTCCAGTCGACATTTTGTTTTCTTTTTATTATGTGTATTGTTATATGTTATATCCCAATGTATAAAAAACAATCAAAATTCGCCTTAAAGATATTATATATATATATATATATATATTTATTTATTTTTCTTATTTCTTCATAAAAAAAGTAAAAAAAAAACAACAACTGAGACTATCAGAGCGGCACACCTTTTTGGAATTTTATCCATTTTCACGATTTTGACGGCCCATGATAGAGAAAGCGCCAATGATAGAAAATTATATGTTTTTTATAAAGATAGGGGTCGAGCCTGATATTCACATAAATTTTTATAATTCTAGGAAATATATATCTCGCGTCAATTATGCACAAACCTGGATAGTTTGACATTTTTACTTAATATCTGTGATTTATTATCTGGTAGTGGTTTTTTGTTATAGCATCGCAACTTTTCTAAACCTATTTTTCGTATAAAGGTTTATCGTCTAGATATAATTTGTTACTCTAGTTTTCTTTTTTAATATCTACAGTGCTGCAACCATGTCCCAAGTTAAAAACGTTCTGCAACTTTAATGTGCAATTGAAAAATAGATCATTGACATATATATATATATATATATATATATATATATATATATATATATATATATATATATATATATATATATATATATTGTGACGTGTATACTTCACGATGTCCCCTTCATCGTCTTTCAGCATGTTGGCCGAGGAAGACGAGGCCCGCGTGCGCTTGAACTGGATGCGCGGGCAGAGGCGCGCTGAATGTTTAAACAGTGCGGACATAAAAACGGTCGTCGACTTTTGCTCTTCGTCACATATTGGTGGAGGTGCAGTTTTAGCCCATACCCGTCCTATCTTGGGAGCGCTGGTCCTCAATCCTGGAGTTGAGGAACCGCAGACTGCCAACCACTATGACATCAGAGACAACATCCAGCGGCACCAGCCAGAATCACCACTCCATCGCCACAGAAGCACCAAGGCAAGGCAATAACCAAACGCCGATTGCCGCAGGAACTCCAAGTCAGGTCAGTCCTGCCGGCTGCTATATTACGTCCCGCCAGAGAGATCCTAAATTCTTCACCGGCCTCGGCGAAGACGAAGTAGACGAGTGGCTTGATTTATACAACCGCATAGGGCTACACAACCGCTGGGACGACGCAACAAAGCTTAGCAATATTATATTTTATTTTACCGATGTCGCGAGAACGTGGTTTTTAAATCACGAAGCTGAGTTTTCGACCTGGGAACGATTTACCAGCCGAGTAAAAGAAGTATTTGGCAACCCTGAAAACCGACGAGCCACCGCGGAAAGACGCCTCAACGCCCGTTTTCAGCTGCCAAATGAAAGCTTTACGGCCTACATCGAGGATGTGTTGACTCTATGCCGCCGTTCCAACCCGAATATGCCAGAGGCTGAAAGAATCCGCCACCTCCTCAAGGGAATTGCCGAAGAGGCTTTTACCTTGTTCATCCTCCAGCCTCCGACCACCGTCACCGCAATTGTCGACGCCTGCACTCGACTACAGGAGGCCAGACAGCAGCGTCTTCTCTTCCCTTACCACACAGGGCTAGTGAGAGGACAACCGATCTCAGCATCACCCTCCTTTACACTGACACAGGAGTCACTGCGTCTGTTGATAAAGGATATTGTTAAAAAAGAACTCGAGATCTATTTTTCTCTACCATCAACGTTGCAAAGGCCGCTTACTGATATCCAGGAGATGATCCGCGATGAACTTCATCAGAACGGCATTCCCAGTTTGCCTGGTCCAAGCGCACGAATTGACCCAAGACCTAGCTATTCCGAAGTATTGGCAACCCCTAGCACCCAGCAGCCAGCGAACGTGCTTCCCTACCCTTCACGTCCAGCTGCACCAAGCTCTGAAGAACCACAGAGGTCTTTCGTCTTCAACCCCGCAGTGGCATCTCTCACAACCGCCCAAGCACCACCTTTGGCCCCATGGCGCCAGGACCAAAGTTATCAACAACCTTACCGTCAGCGACCAGTCTGCTATTACTGCGGCATCATGGGCCATGTCGCTCGCCTTTGTCGGCGCCGACGTCAAGATAACGAGGCTCGGTACCACTACGTGAGTTACCAGCATTCTTCTAGAAGGGGACATCGTGAAGTATACACGTCACAATTATGCGCAGTTTTCGGAGGGGCAACTGCGGTACGTAATACCACCGGACACCCTCCGATTGGACCACCGAATGTTGTAGAAGTTGTTGTTGAAGGACTCCATTTACACGCGTTGGTCGATACGGGCGCCGCAATTTCTGTCATAC